CCACTTTTGTTTTCCTCAATTTTCTTTCTTTTTTTGCGATTCCCACTAAAATCTGTGGCCCAGACTATAGAAAAGTAAAATAAAACCCTAAGCGTCAGTTGAATTTCATTTCCGGCTCGCGCTTTCGCACACATACACATATTCCATTTAACGTGGCTTGTTTTGCAGACCCGCCCCTAGTAGCCAGGCCTCCAGCCAGCCCCTTTGTAATGGAGTCCATTTGATATTCTGGCCGTTGGATTCTGGGATTTTGGCCAAGCCGCCAAACTGTGAGTGGAAAACTTAATATGGCAATAGTTGCATAATGCAATTACCGGCCATATCGACTCGACGTTCGGCTTTACCCAAGCGTAATGCGTTGCGGTGGACATGGCTCGCGCAGCCCCAACTCTCTCCCTCTCTTTCTCTCTCGATTTGCATGTGGGTGGGTATTTGTCGCAGCATACATTCATGCACACACACATAGACACCTGCACCAACACTTGGGTAATTCAATCTGTCGCAGTTTTTATGCCGTCGCCGTCGTCGTCCTCGTTGTCGCCACACACGGCCGTTTTTCAGAATTTTTCACATATTCGCAAATATTTTCATTTCTCGTTTTGCGTTTTTTATATCCGGTGTAGGTTTAGAGAATGAGAAACAGAGGAAGGCAGAGCAAATGCCGACGCCAACGGCGCCGCAGCGGATGTGTGAGAATTATGTGTTTTTCTTTTTTTTTTTCTGAAACTGCACTGAAAGTTTAAAGCTTTTAAAGTGTGTGTAATGCAAATGCGAATTTCGTATTACTGCGATCTATTAAGCTGATGTATGGAAGCTTTTAAGAGCGAAAGCTTACAAGATGCTCAAAAGCTCTGTCTGTTATGCATTAGTGATCAGCTTTGAACTTTTTATAACATTTCAGACATGATTACATATGAATGTCAGCGCAGCTCAACAGCTATAGCAAAAGAATGTCGCTAAAGCTTAAAAAAAGCTCTTTTAATTAATTTATATTCCGGCTCTCTATGATTTAGTTAAGTATTTGTTAATTAAAACTCATAAATTTGTTTATTAAACGTCAATACTATTAATAGAAGCTAGCCATTATGAAAGCTTTTTACTAGTCTTAGTCTTACTATAGACTATAAATACTAATTTTACTCTGTACATAACAAATTTAGTTAGATTCATTTCCTATCATTTCATTCAAGTCCACTACACCTAAACTTAAAAGCTCACTTGATGATTAAATTGCAGGAAAAGCAACAAAACTAATTAAAACTAAACTAACTCAAATAAACGCTTGGTATTTCTTTTGCTTTTTAATCTTCTAAGTTTTCTGCGCTAAATCAAACAAATATCGCATTTCACTTAGCTCCAAACGAAATGAAATCAAAGGCAACAGAAAAGTGGAGAGGTAAGAGAGACAGACAGAGACAGAGAGAGAGAGAGAGAGAGAGAGACGAAGAAATGTAACTTGTGCAATCGCAGATTAAATATCACTTAAAATTAAACTAGCGTTAAATGTAACAAATGAAAGAAAATCGAAACGATTTCCAAATGCAATAAAATATTGTGCAAGCGAAACCAAAGACGAAAACCAATCGCGCGATAACGAAGAAGCAGAGAATAAGAGGAAGACGACCGTCAGGCTAGGCAAGTCAGCTAAAGCTGAGCAGAGAAGAGAAGCGAAATCTCTCAATTCCCATTATGTGCATGTCAACTGCAGTTAGCATCAAAGCGCCAAAACAAGACGCAAGCAGTGCGAGGGAGAGCACACGACGAAGAAGCAGAAGAAGAGGCAGAGAGCAGTTGAGCTTTCGCTTGCTTGAGGGAACAATGCGATAAAGTAACAACAAAACCGGCGGCAGAAGCTGAAAACGACATCCAGTCACGTTTTTGGACAAAAACTTAATCCAGGGCCGTGTGTTAAGGGGGCGGGGGGAGGGGCGTGCGTGCGTGTGTGTGTGTGTGAGAAAGTGGGTTGGATTGGATTTTAAGATGTGAAATCGAGAGCCGTCGCTGCCGCTTGGCCCAGACACACAACGTGCCAAAGTCCAGAAAGGGGGAATATATACATAAAGGATGTGCCGGTCGCACACACGTAGACACCGAGAGACAGAGACAGAGCGAGACAGAGACTGGGACATGGACAGAGCCAACAGGAAACGAATTAATCGAAGTTAAATAAATCAATGTCATTAAACTTTGCTGCAGAGATTTACTAGCTGAGTTGGCATGCTCACTAAACTGAGAGAGAAGGCAACACACCCAACCAACTGCACAATACACAACAACAACAACAACAACAACAGCAGCAAAAGGAGTAAAAGCTGCAGCCAACTGCAATTGCAATCGAATTTAGTTTATGGCTCTCCTCTCTATGCTCTATGGTCTCTCTCTCTCTCTCTCTTGCCCTCGCCTTTCTCTCACTTCTTCTTCTTCTTCATACAGATAAAGCTCGACGTAGCGAAAGTGACAAACGTTTAGCAATAGTTCAGTGGGCGCCAAAAGTCATGACCAAAAACCACAAAAAGGCTGCAAGGATAAGTAACAGTGTATGGTCTAG